CCCCCCCCCCTCCTTCAGGTTGAGCTGCTGGCATGGTGATGGAGGACGAGTGGATTGGTCATTTTATTGCTTTATGTTATATTTCTTCCGCTATGATTGATGAACCCTTGTTTTGGGATAATTGAACATGATAATATGTTGAACTTTATGATGTGAGTAACGCCATTATGTATTTTAAATCGAAAAATGATTTTCGAAAATTTAACTTTGATTTTTAGAAAAGTCCAGAATTTTCTTTAAAAATCTTTGGGGCGTTACAGTGAATTTGTTTAAGCCCCTTTGATGCATAAATTTTCAAAAATTTTGTGAAATTATTAGGTGATATTTTGGGGTTTTGAGCCTTGAAATCCTTGTGTTGGACCCTTGTGTTGTGTCTTAAATTTTTGATTGAAACCCTTGTGAAACCCTTGAATCAAGCCATAACCTTGGTCGAGTATTGCCGCAACCACGGGGGTGCGCCCCTTAGAAGGGACTACCGGCAACATGTCCTCAGCAGCATCCCGCGCGCGCTGCAATTAGGCTGCAGCAATCGCTGTGGCGCTGTCGAGCCCGCTAATGAGAATGTGGGTCTCGCACCTGCAAAAACCAATATTCGGGCACGACGAGTACACATAAGGAATCTTGCTCGACGACTAAAATGCCCACGTAAAGTCGCATGGGCACAAACGAGACGACGCCTCATACGAACGCTCAATTGGAGGTTTGAGGATGCACATCGAAGGATGAAAATCTGGTGGAGATGGCTAGGGCACTAGGTGGTTCGAGAAAAATGGCTGCTGCGCGAGTCGGGTGCAAGATGCGCGCGCACGGACCCGCAGGCAGCGTGTAGAAGGTCAGACGCGCGCAGGCATGGGCACGATATGAGAATGTTACACACGCAGGTGCAGACGCGGGTTTGCCAAGGACAACACGCACGGGTGACTTGCCGATCAAGAAACCGAGTCTTCTGGAAGGCTTTTTGAGATGAATCTTTTCTCGATTCATTATGTTGGTCGACCGCAGCCACGGGGGTGTGCGCCTCAGTCGGGACTGCCCTCAGCACGTCCCCAGTAGCAATCTGCGCGCGTTGCTGTCAGGCCGCAACGACCGCTCGCCGTGTTGTTGAGGCCCACAGTGGTCGCATGCTGGGAGACCGCACACGCTGCATTGTTGAGACTCACGGCGGTCGCGCTGCGGCCAACAGCTCCGCCGCGACTCGTTCGGAAAGCCGCGACACGACCCGACTCGATCCACACGGCCACCAGCGATCCCACGCAACACGACCCGCGAGCCCGACAACCCACACGACCCGATCCACGCGAGCCTGATCTTGTTTCGTTCGTGTGATTCAGCCTGTTCGTGTGCTGTGTACGACCATCCAAAAGATCAGCCAGATCGCCAAAAATTATAAGCCGTAAGTTCTCTACGTCAAACCTTTAGATCCGCTGCGCATAGGTTTACCTTTACTATTGAATTCGTGATTTGTACATAACGTGATCGTCACAGATCTCAACAACAAGTACATAAGACAAGTAACCACATAGTGCAAGTACGACCCGGTGCGAGTGATCGCAAAAAGAGTAGAGTTTTTGTGAGGGTTTAATGCACCAAACCCCTCTGTATTATACGAAATCTGCGCGTTTCTCCCCTGTATTTTAAAAATTGCGTCAGATCCCCTTCTATTAAGGTTTTGTATGCGCGGAACACCCAAAATTTAGACGTTTTAGGGTGTTTCGCGCATACAAAACATTAATAGAAGGGGGTCTGACGCAATTTTTAAAATACAGGGGGGAAACGCGCAGATTTCGTATACTACAAGGGGGTACTGTATATTTTACCCGTTTTTGTGACCTAGTTACATCAGTAGACGACCAAATAGATCATTTTATAATTGGCTTTCTGAAGAAATATTTTGATGGCCATGTTAAGGCATTGGGTGTAGGATGTAAGGAAGTTAGGACAATAGTCCTTTGAAAATAAAGATTGAAATAATGTATACTCAGAGAAGTCGAAAGCTTTAAGCATAATGCATAATATGAAAAAGAAAAATAACATAACTAGAAGAAATATTGTAAATATAAATTTCTTATTTATGAAAGTGTAGTATTTGTTGGGATATATGAGGATCTCGTTATGTACATGTCACGAATTCAATAGCAAAGGATCTAAAGGTTTTACGTAGAAAACTTACGGCTTAAAATTTTCTAAATCTGTCTGATTCGGGATGACCGGGAACAACACACAAATGGACGGTGGGATCGATCGGGCCGTGTGGACTGCGTGGAGGTCGCCAGTTCGTTGCGGCGTCTCTCTGGCGGGTCGGGGTCGGTGGTCCTCGGCCTTCGGGTCGTGGTTCGTCGACTTCTGTTGATGATCCCGGGGTCTCGATTACCTTTGGGATCTTCTATTGTATCACTCTTACACCTCTTCAACTTGTACCGGTGGAGCAACAAGAAGAAGATAAAACTTGAATGAGACATATAGAGAGAATGGGAGAGGCGCACGTTTCATGTGTGAATAATAGATCTCCTCTTCTCATGAGCTTAATGATGTATATATAGAGCTACAGTAGAGATCCTTAGGAGAATAAGAACATGGCTTCTTATGTAATGGACTAACTGTAGGATATGCCCACTCCTCCAATTACTTAATTAATATTACGGTCCACTAATGTAATATTATTGCACTCTCTCTTCCTAGCCCAAATTACATTTGAGACTCCAATTATAATTACCCGAATTACGTCCCCAAATTTAAGATATAATATCCGTTAATTAATTCTATTATCGACAATCAAGAATTAATTAATATACTATATTACCAAAGACAGAGCACGTTCATCACATTATTATTATGCCGGAATTTAATCCACCTGCAAGGTTTAACATAACAATCCTTGTTAGTTGAGGCAATTGTCGTTGGTGTGTGTGGGGTGTGGCTTGTGGTGAGCAGCTCGAATTTTCTGACGACGATTGTTGTTGGAAGGGTCTATGGTTTTCGGGGGGGTACTTGTTAGCCGGCTTCGGTCTGAAGTTTCTTGTTACGTGTTCGTTGCTACTGCCTTAGGGTTGGGGGTTGCTGATTAGCTGGTGGGGAGGGTTTATTCTAGTATTTTTTTTATAGTGTTTTTAGTGTTTTTTCGTGTTTTATTTATTGTGTGTAGTGTTTATTCTTCTATTGGGAACTTTATTCTTCTGTTGGGAGCTTGTGGGTGAATTGTGCGTGTTTCGATTAGGCGACCAGTTGGGTTGTCCTCCCAAGGATTTCAGCTATGTAGCTGCGTTTTCCGGCTGTTACCGATTGTATCCACTTGTAATTATGTGTTGTGTTCTATTTATGATAATCTGTCGTTTGAAAAAAAAAACACAAATTTTGAGTCAGTAAGGCCTGGTTGAATTTTGAGTTAAAAAAGTTATTTGATCAGTCATCACCGGATATTTTAAATTCAGTCATGTTCTAAAGAATCTCTAACAGTAGATGATAAGCTTGTTTTTAGAGGAAAGGATTGTGATGGCAAGCTTTCTCGAATAACTCATTTTTTTAAGTCATGTCAACTATAATGAGCTATTAATAAGTTTGTTAAAAACATCATCAGCTATCAAGAAATTTATTAAAAACATCATGAAATAACTGTGGTCTATATTGTTTACTTGGACAGTATAATATATTCTTATCCTCAGAGATCAGTTCAATACATCACAAATGTACTACTGTAATTTATTAGTCTAAGATCAACAAATCTCGAAATTACACTACAACCATTCACGATAGTTAGTTCAATACTGCCTCAAACGTGAAGGAATAACAAGTTCATAAGACAAGTAACCACATAGTGCAAGTACGACCCGGTGCGAGTGATCGCAAAGAGAGTAGAGTTTTTGTCACCTACTTACATCAGTAGACGACCAAATAGATCATTTTATAATTGGCGTTCTGACGAAATATTTTGATGGTCATGTTAAGGAATTGGAAGTAGGATGTATGAAAGTTAGGACAATAGTCTTTTGAATATAAAGATTGAAATAATGTATACTCAGAAAAGTATAAAGCTTTAAGTATAATGCATAATATGAAAAAGAAAATTATTAAAATTATAAGAAATATAGTAAATATAAATTTCTTATTTATGAAATTGTACTATTACCAATGTATATTATTATAATTGAATATATATGAAAATACTTTATTTGAGACAATGAAACACAAATTTTGAGTCAGTAAGGCCTGGTTGAATTTTGAGCTAAAAAATTATCTAATCAGTCATCACTGGATATTTTAAATTCAGTCATGCCCTAAAGAACCGCTAACAGTAGACGATAAGCTTGTTTTTAGTGGAAAGAATTGTGATGTCAAGCTTTCTCGAACAACTCATTTTTTTTAAGTCATATAAACTAAGAGCTATTAAAAAATTTATTAAAAACATCATGAAATAGCTTATTGAGGTGAAATAAGGCATGAGATAAAAAATTCGCTCAACGAAGACAATGAGGACGCATTTATAGTCCGTGCTATGTACGAGACATAAATGATAAATCGTAAAAATTAAAATAGTGAAGGAATACCGATTAGTATAGAAATGATTTTTATTAATAGTTTTATATGTTCTTGTAATTTTATGATATATAATAACTTAATATATTTATTTTACTCGTTATAAAATATCTGTCATTTTAAATTTTCTGCTTAGAATTAAGGAAGATGGAAATTTTCATATTCAAATGTTATTAATAAATAATACTACAAAATATAATTCTTTCTGTCTCCGCTTACTCATACAATATTAAAACATATTATCTTGAATTTTAAATAAGTGATAGTAATGTTAAAAAATTGTGACAAATACTATAAATTGACACTACATTTGGAAAGAATGTAGTGTATATTATTTTAAAGTTCTAAACTTACTAATTTTTAAAGTCAAAATTATTTTACTTTTTATAGTTTATAATAATATGTATTATCAATTTTTTTATATTTTTTGTTAATCTAACAATTACATGACGGTTTGACACTAGCTGATCTATTATTATAATTTATAAGAACACATATTATAAGTATTTTTATTTATTTTCTAAGATAATCTCAATAGATAACTCGTTGGTTAATTATTATAAATTATAGAAAATATATATTGTAAATATTTTGATTTTTCTTTCTATGTTAATAATATACATGGATAGTTCAATAGACGATTTAATAGATTGTTATCATAACTTATTATAAATCTTTGGAATTTTTATTTTTAAGCTTGTAAGTTCAAAAAAAGACTTATCTAATAATTTATACGGAAATTCGACAAATGACCCGTTGGTTTATCATTTTAATATTTTATTTACTTGATCCTTGAAATAATGTATTACTTATATTTTTTAAAGTTTTTCATCAAATATTTAAACCCATAGGGGTAAATATATCAATCACTATTTCAGATTATTTTATACTAAATATGATTTAATTTATATAGATTTACATTTTATTTCAATAACTTGAGATCAATTCATATTTT